GGTGATGATGGAGTTATCCATGGCTTTGTTCACTATTATAATACACTGGATACATATCTTGATTAATGCCCAAGTTTTTTAGAGGTACAATTGTCAAAATGAAATTGTACTTTAAAAGAATAAAAGTAGTATTTTTGAATCATATAAATTAATAAATTGAAAGAAACTGGAAAGATTCACTATGTGAACCTCCAGAAAAGTTTCTCAAGTGCACAATCAGAGTATTAAGATTCTGGGATTGCCATTATTATAATAACACTAAGCAAAAAGCATGGCTGTTCTTACATCTGTTTACATTATTTCATTCAGCAAGCAGAAGTCAACTTAACTTTTATGTTGCTATTTACCTTTATAAACTTCCTCATGCAGCAACACACTGACAATGCACTTGTTGCCAGCAATTGAGGGGAAATTGATCTGTTAAAAACTATTTTCAGTGTTTTGTTTTGTTTTCAATCTTGGGGTTCATGTAAGGGACTTAACATCCTGCTTTAATGCAATGTAGGGCTAAGGATAATTTGATCTAATACAGTTCACAAAAATCAGAATCACCAAGCTCTTGTAACTTAATGTTCAATCTTAACACTGCAATAACATTAGTTTTGTTTCTTAATGTAAATATTCAACATAAAAGAAACAGTTTCTACAGAAAGATAAACTTCTGGGCAAGGAGGCTGTGATTTTCACAGCTAATACAACAAGCTGCTGTTAGGGGTATCCCAGCACACCTACTGTATGATAGCCATGTGTGACCAGCCAGATATGCAGAACTTTGTATACATGAACGCCCTAACACTCCAATCATTACAACTGGGCAATGATTACGTTATTCCTTGCTGCCTCGATGTAAGACAATAGGAGAACAATGACAAAGCTTGATCATTCACCAGAGACACAATGCACAGACCAGTACCAGTGCAAAATGACTAGCTTTTCTTGCTGGCATCAGAGACAATGGGATCAAGACTGAGGCAGATCAAGACCCAAGGAGACTGAGATTTTTGGCCTGTATTCCCTACATCTTTCATTAACCAACCACAGAGGAATAATCCGCATGAAAAAACAGCTGCCCAGCATCTCCTTCAGGGACCCTGCAGTGGGCTCTGGCTAACCACAAACCACAAAATCATCTCCCCTACAATGGTCACCATGCAACGTGGGCACACACAGCCTGTGATCAAAAGGTATAAATGACTGTCCGCTGGATACTATTGATATTTGATTTTAAGAATAAAACTGTTCAGCTTTCATAAGCTGAACATGTCTCTGTATTTTCCTTTCTTTTTGATAGAAGGAAAAAAGAAAACAACAGAAAAAAAAAAAAAAAGAAAAAAAAGAAGTACTGTAAAGCCTTTTTCATCCCAAAGTACAAGGGAACCATTGTATGACTGTAGAGCTAGAAGTCTATCTTCCTCTCAGTAAAAGAGAAAGGTGAGAAAGAAGCTGAAAGGTACAGACTGGAAGATGCCCAAAACAGGCTGAAAACAGAGGAGATCCTGAACGTGTTCCTGTGTTAACTAGAAGGAAGGGAATGTCAAAACTAGATGAGGGAAGGACAGGATTTGCTCACACCTCTTCCTAGGTGTTGTGCAAGGACAGAGGGTGTAAGGAAAACCATCACATCTCTCTGCTGCGCTGGTGCTGCGTATGAGAACTCTGCAACTATACTGTCACAGCTCCGACTGAAGTCTAGCAGTTGACGGAAACCTTTGGAAAACATGCCTTTTATTGGATGCTGGAGGGAATATTCAGAACACTCTAAACATCACTTTTGAATCTTTAAACGAATTTAGGATCCTGCCCGTTTTGTGTCAAAACGCTTCTAGCCTTTGCAATCAACTGCCACTTGTCAGGCTGGAAGAGATGAGCTGAAACAAGAAAGAACCAGACTGTACACATAGTGCTGGGCGTTGTTTCGGGAGAGAGGCATCAGAAACAAGGGGATGCTGACATTCTTCTAATCACTCTGAAAAAAAAGTCATATGGGAGGCTGATCTGCCAAAAGCCTGATGACTGGAGAGAGCAAATGGCACTTGCTAATGCCCTAGGAGTTGGAGGTTCCATCATGGGGGGATAATCCTCTAACTGCTCAACTCAACCGTTTCACGATAGGTGTGTTTAAGCTGAATCCGGCTCTGCAGATGCCCCAGGGTTACAACAAACCCGTCAAAGCCTTCAGTTTATCTTTATAAGCCAAGCTTAAAACAGCGCAGTCGAGGTGCCAACTCACTAATGGATCAGCCCGGCCTGTCTCAGGGATGGGATGAGCAGTTGGCAGCACTAACAGTTTCAGCCAAACAATTTTTATCCGTCACTACCAGTCTATCAAAGCACGAGGCCACCAACTTCTCCTAGGAAGAATTCAGGAGGGTTTTAGCACAGATATAGGCAGGCAGGCATGCATACGGAGATGCAAGCAACTTGAGAGCTTTCAGGTCTGAAATGGAGGCACCTAACCAGTGGATACGCTCTCATGGCCGTGTGATTGATAACTGGAAGGGCTTTTATATCACTATTTTGGATCTAGGCACTGTAGTCTGTGCAAGTCCAGTTATAGGCATTAAGGTTCTGGGCCAGGAGACAAAATAACCTTTCCACTTGCCAGAATGTACGTGCACTTCATCTGATAATATTCAAATCTCTTTAGCTACATTATAATGAGGTTAAAGCAAGAAAAGATTTCCCCACCCCACATATTACAAATGTCAGTAATGAGAACAGTAAAAATGTCACCACACGGAGAAAAGAGTGAAATTAGCATATTTAGAGAAGTATTATACCCATGAGTGAAATAATGCAATCAGCTAGCTGCAAGATAAAGCTAATTTGGTTTCCAACAGTTTATCAACAATGCACTGCTCCTTTACATTAACAAATTTAAATGGTACCATATCCTGCAAACAAGAATAATTCACACAGAATATTACATTGTGTTAATTAAATAGCCGGAATGGAAAAGGTCAGGCCGTGACAGAAAGATCTGCATATGGGTTGTGAAGCTATGAAAAAGATGGAGTGATTTAGAATCAAGCAGTTAAAATAAATTATTCAAATCATAATTAAGTCAATAGTAAATAAAGCTAGATTTTCCAAGTCTATTTTAATCTCCTTTTTTTTTTGTCACTGTTTCTCAGAAGATTCTCTCTCCTGCTGGCCCATGCATGCACCAAAATATCTCTAAAACTCTCACATGATGAAGTGACCTGCATAAGTTATTGAATAATTTTACTGAAGTTTCCATTTTACCATGCAGATATCAAGAGGTAAGTTTTGCAGTTAAAGGACACTGCAAGGCACCACCTGCCTTATTAGTGGATTAGTTTCTTGCTACTAGAATAACCAAGAAAGCCCTGCAATTACTACAGCTAATTGAAAAATGTTCAAAGGGAGCAACATTTTTTCACTTTGTTTACTTTTTCAGATGACAGCACTTTGTCTTTGGCACAATGCCACCAAATCAATTAAATTATAGAAGTAACATAGCCATTTCAAATCGAAAGAACATTTTGGCACGGGCTAAACCATACGGAGGTGGTAATGTATAAAGAAGACCAAGCAAAACAGGGAATTAATCTTACTTGGAAAAAAGAGCACTAACAGAATACACATCGGTCATGATCAAGTCTGAAACTTGTCCAATATTTTTACTCTGTTTTTTTTCATCACAGTTCTACATGGCAAGCTGAAGTTTTACTTTACTACCTGCACATCTCTGGTATTTATTTGCGTCTGAATGTTTTTCCTGAGGAAGACACTGAAATTTTCTAGACAAAACCTCATTTTCTTTTTGATTGTATTTCTGATCATTTTGGTTAGTATAAATTTCCTTTTTCCACCCTGAGTGCTTGCAACTCCTAATTTGGGCCTCTGTCTAGCAAACAGAGCTGTGTGGGCTAAACAATATGCGATGTCCGTATGTTTTGGGGGGAAATTTCACGGGAGTGTGTAGTTTTGGCTGCAAAACTGTGGGTTGGGCATCGCGTTTGAATTTCAGTCATGCGCTGCCCAATGTATCAACAGAATTACATTAACACTGCATCTAAAACCAGCCCTTGTGGATCCCACTATTTAGCTCTTCCCAATTAAGCACACAGGCATTTATCAAACCGGCTTCCAATCTTTGTGACAGAATTCCTAAGCGAGCCAAACTGAAATGCGTATTTTTTCAGGGAAGATGAAGCATTGTGCAGCATATGAGCCATTAATTTTATGACAAGTGCAGATGGTAGATATACAGATAAATACTCATACAACCTAATGAAATGAATATATACTTCAATCTATTTAAATGATAATAGTTTCTAATGAGCCTAGCGTAGCCCACATGATTCAGAATTCATCTGAATTCTTTTAAAATGGATTTACGTGCAGGCTGTAAATTAATCCTGTTGGTTTTTTTTTCCCTCCGATTCAGGCCACAGCTGATTTTTAGCCACCTCATTACAAAGCCGCTCTGACACCTGTGAGGCAGACACCCCATTTAGGTGCGCCGCATCCACCCCAACCCTTTTTGGGTTATTAAGGGATGCTTTTAGAAGAGAGCCCTCTTCAAACCTGACGTAACACGGATAAGCACCTGCTGTAGCACCTCGCTGAGTAAATGTACCTCTAGGTGCTAAGGGGCCGACCCAGTCCTGTCCTGTCTGACTGCAGGTGACCAGGTAATGGGATCACTCCTGAGGTGGGACGCTCCAGAGGGGATGCTGAAGGAGAGCGGTTAAGATTGGAAGGGATGGTGCAGGGCTGGGGGTCTAGCTCCCTGCCAACACACTCCTGAGCTTTTCACCCCCCTCAGAAATCAAGGCTCGGTTCATCTCTCAGCAACTCCTCCAGGAACCAGGCTGCAGGACCGGGGTGCTTCACTACGGAAATACACTAAAACCGAGGCTTTCCTCCCGGGGAAGCGCAAGGGGTACAGCGACACCACCTCCCTCCTACCTACCCCCCCTCCACCCCGGCACCGCCAGCGGGCAGCACGCCCGGGGCCGGCGGGCACCTACCGGGCACGGCGGGGCCGCCGCTCTCCGCCCCGGCCATTTTGTTCCGGGCCCGGCCGTGCCTCCCTGGCTCCGCTCCCCTCCTCCCCTCTCCGGCGGAGGAAGGAGGCGGCCGCCGGCCCTTCCCCGAGCGCGCATGCGGCTGTGCCGGGCCGGGGCAGCGCCGCCGCGCTCGGGGGCTCCGCGTACGGCTCGTCCCTGCCCCCGGCCCCGCGCCCTCCTCCCCGGCGGGCGGCCGCCAGCGCCCCGCAGATGGGCTTAGGCTGGAGCAGCGCGGAGGAGCGGCAGCCCCTGCTGCCCCCGCCGCCGCCCCACCACCACCAGCACCACCACCACCACCAGCAGCAGCAGCGGCGGCGGCCCCAGCAGCTGCAGCAGCCGCGGGGGGCTGCGGGGAGCCCGGCGGTGCCGGTCCCGGTGCCGGTGCCGGTCCGGCGGCTGGCCCCGGCGGCGGGTCGCGTGTACGGGCGGCGGTGGCTGGTGCTGCTGCTCTTCTCGCTGCTGGGCTTCGCGCAGGGCCTGCTGTGGAACACCTGGGGCCCCATCCAGAACTCGGCCCGCCTGGCCTTCGGCTTCAGCGGCTGGGACATCGCCCTGCTCGTCTTCTGGGGGCCCATCGGCTTCGCGCCCTGCTTCTTCTTCATGTGGCTGATGGATAAGAAGGGTGAGATGGGCGAGAAGGGTTGGGGGTGGCAGGGCATGGCGGGGCCGGGCAGCCCACTGCAGCCCTTCGGGATGGGATGGGACCTCCGTGGGGTCTCCATCGGGTGACTGATGCCCTAAGGCACCACCAGCGCAGCTCTGATCTCAAATAGAGGTGCATCACAGGCCACTCGTGAGGAAGGTGCTGAGGGGTGTTGCTGAAGTTTAGGTCTTTTCCAGCATTTGTGATTCTGTAGGACCTTACTGCGCTCTGCAGCTACCTGGAAGGAAGTTGTGGGGAGCTGGGGTTTGGCCGCTTCTCGCAGGTAACTAGTCATAGGAGTGGCCTCAAGTTGTGCCAGGGGAGGTTCAGGTTGGAAATTAGCCATTTCTTCTCAGAAAGAGGTGTTGGGACGGGTTGCCCAGGAAGGTGGTGGCATCACCATTCCTGGGGGTTTTCAAGGAAAAGTTGGACGTGGTGCTTAGGGACATGGCTTAGTTGGTGACATTGGTGGCAGGGGGATGGTTGGACCAGGTGATCTTGGAGGTCTTTTCCAACCTTAATGATTCTGTGGTTCAGTGATCCTAAAGCAGAGCGGTTATAGCATTTTAGTTCTGCATGGGTCTGGAGGAGAGCCACTCTGCTCTGGCATTGCCACAGCAGGTGTTGGCCCTTGAGATGGTTGTATCAGTAACATTGATTTCTAGTGATAAGCTGAACAGCTGTGGTGATGTCTCAGTCAAGGGATGCTGGTGCTCAGAGTGGCTATGGCAATGTGGTGTAATGCTGCATCTCTGAAAATGGATCATGCCAAGCCAACGGCTTGCTTCTGGTGCACCAGGGCGGTGCAAAGGCAGCAAACAGAAACCCAGAAGTTAGGCTCTGTGGTTTTGGAAGACAAGCACGAGGGAGAGTTTCCTAATCCACATTCGGGCCTTTACGTTTCAGCAGTTTACTTCCAAAACCAGCATTTGTCTTTGGAGAACTTCTTCAAGGCCTGTGAAGTTTGTGTGGTCACCCTGGAGACCACTAAAGTGCACGTGTTTGCAGATTTGAGCTTCTGGGCCTAAATCCACGGAAGCGTTTAGTCTTTTAATTCCTGTTTAAACAGGCCTCTAAACAGGAGATAGGAGCCTAAATACCCTTGTGGATCCTGATGTTAAGTGCTGCTCATTCCATTTATTTAGGAATTAATAGCTCATTTGTGTGGAGCAAAGGGGAGAAAGTAAAGGAAGATGGGGAGAAGAGTTGTAGCAGAGAAGGCTTGTGCTTTGAAATTGGAATTGCTTTTCCTAAAGCTGAAGAGACTTTGGGGGAATAAAACCTATTGGGTTGAAAATGCATTCTCCAAATGAGTCCATGGTGGCTGTACAGCCAGCCTTCTCTCAAGCAATTCAAACTTAAGTCAACAATGTCTGTCTAGACTGCTGTATAATAGTGTTGTTAATTATCTTGAAATTAAAGTGAGTTACTTTGTTTTCTACAGTGAAGATGACAACTCTGCTCTTGTTATCAAGGAAATAAAACTAAACTTGAACTGGTGTTGGTAGAACTGAGTGTATGTTTTTCTCTTCTATGGAGTTGATTTTGAGGGTTTTAAAAAATACTGGAGTATGTTAAATAATGCTTGTGATTATTTTTTTTAGGTTCCACAATGAATGGAGGTACTGATACAAACTACCTCTTTGATCTTGCTGTGTTCCTGTCCTTGTTGCAACAGCTTCAGTTTATTGCCTTAACAGAGAATCTTAACTCATTGGTTTCATGCATGAAGAATATGTTATGGCCCTTTAGCGTGTTCTTTGTGCAGCAGTGGATTTTGAGGGGGCCCTGTTGTGTTTCATGCTGTTTTTGGGTGGTTCCCATGGAGAACGTGGTGCTGCTCGTGTTGGGAGTGCCAGTGTGGCCCAGCTCTCGCGTGGAGCACGTCCCACCAGAGGCACCTTGTGGGTTTTTAACTGCTCTCTAGAGGAGGAGCAAGACTTCTCTGAAACTCTAAAGTTGGTTGGGTGTGACCTTGCAAGAGCAGTATTTCTCTTGCTTAGGGGTATAAATGCTTGTCGTTAGATTGAATTCACTCTGTACCAAACATCTAGAGAAACAACACCAGTTACTCTCCTCGCTTCAATCATCTGTCACTGGAGTTGGCTGGTAAAGAAACTGTCAGGAAAAGAAACTGTTTGTGAAGTGTCAACATTTAAAACCTGGCATGTATCAGAAGTATGACACTGTAGAAGATGAGTGTCAGGATTTGTGAGAGGAGATTCTGCTTTTAGATAGTCCTGTGCTTCACAGTCAGAGGTGTATCTAACTGGTATCAATACACAGCTGCCTGCTGTCAGTTAAGTCTGATTTTGTGTTGTGATGCTTCAGATTAAGTCCAAAAGTATTTGTCTTTTTTTTTTTTTTAGTTGTTCAGTATAGCATGTAGTTTGGTACAGAAACCAATTTCCATTTCAAACTTCTGTTGTAGCATGTATGTGTCTGTTTCTTGTTTCAGTGCTGCGTATATGGGTCTGGTTACTGTTTTCCCCCCATTTTAATTTAATTCAAGTTGAATATTCAGCAGTGGGCATATTAATAATCCTTCATATAGAATTACTTCTTGGACTGTGTGATTCAATTGCATCACAACTTCTCTGAGGAGCATGAGGTCTCCTAAGAAAAGAGGGTAACAGTGTTTATTTTTAGTAAAAACATGCAAAAAAAAAAAAAGCAACAGCTAGCTGCTCTTACGTTTTATATATATGGGATCTGTGATGCTCAGATTACACTTTTTTTGGTGTTTTAACCCAGAAGGGTTTGTCTCTGTGACCTTTTCCTTCCTTGCTTCCCAAATCTATTTCCTGGATTTTTTTTGTGGAGGCCTTTTTCTCCATTGACACGGGTAATGTGCTTGGAGCCTGGGAGGAAAATGTAGGCTGGGAAAGGCAGAGATGGTGTCACTTCTGGCACCTTGGGGAGTGTCTGCAGAAGACACTACCGGTGGCTTTACATGTCTCCTGTGGACTTTTGTGACCACCTTCTTTGGTGCTGTTCCTGCCTCCCTGCTTCTGGCTGATGGTGTGTTTGTACCAGCATGGTTTTGGACTCAGCAGGCGGGAGCAGCTTTCCAAACTCTGCTTCCTAGGGCCCTGTCAGGGCAGTGGTGATATCCATGATGTTTCCTAGTCCTGGGCTGTGCTGGATGCGTGCTGAAACTGAGGGATTACGTTTGTGGATGTCACTTTTGAGTATGAAAACCCATTTCTGTAGGTGGAATGATAGGGGTTTTGTTGTTCCTGCCAGCCTGGGTCTTGGTGAGGAAAGGTGAGGAGATGGAGCACACACAGGAGCTGAATGTGTCTTATTGGCTGCATTTTCTTTAGCAATAGGATACGGGAATCGTTTTTTAACTGTAAGTATCTTCAGAGATTCGGTAAGACTGAAATTAAATGGCAATTGATTTCAGTGTGCCATTGGATGGACCCTTGGTGTTTACAGGCTTAAAATTAGCTACCATTTGTCACATGATGCCCAAGTGTTTATGGATGTTTTGTGCCTCGAGTGTTTCATTTCATGGGAACTGTAGATGTGGACAGGTCCGTTAGGGTGTTTGCATTAACTCCTCTTGAAGTGTAAAGCTTAAATATTTGAATTATGGGTCTGGTCCTCTGATCTTTTTATAAGTTAGTTTCATAGTTACAGCACGAGACACAGACTGATACTGTGTATTCCCTCTTCATTATGTTCCCATGTAAGCAAGGGAGGGCAAGAAAGACAGAAATTCTTTATAATTCGCATTAAACTGATTGAATAGCATAGCAATATTTTTCATTAACTTCTGGAATGCAGTTTTATCTTCTGTTGAGTTTGAAGAAATGCCACTTTTTACTGGTAAAACTGAAATGTAATCTATTTCTTGGTCCTTTTTTGTAAAGAGGTATATGCTTACGTGGATTGTATAGATATTCTTAGTCACTTTTTTTGCTAAAATTAAATTTGCACAGTATTGTTATCCTAGTGATTAAAGTGGAGAGAAACTTTCGGTGATCTATTTTTATTTTTATTTTTTTAGTGGAGATTGGCTTGTATATTGAAACCATTAGTGTTTTTCTTGCTTAAATAGATATTTTTTCTGAAAATCAAGCTTCTAATTTCATTGCTTTCTCCTAGCTTCTCGGTTTTGTTCCCTTGAAATGTATGATATAGCTTTTACCTCTTTCACCAGAGAATTTTGAGGTTAAATCCTTCAATATAGACTGACAAAACAGTAATGAATATTGAACGTGAGTAATAAATCAGGTCTTGCTAATATAAAAATGCCCTAATAACTGTTCTCTGCAGAAAATAAACTGCACGTGATAGATAAGGAGAATTCTGTAAAACAGCCTGCATACCTGAAGGTCCCAGGCTGTCACCTTGTACTGCATGCATGGAGGAGCTGATCTTGCTTTTGGGGTTTTGGACTGCTCTAATTCACATCCAGGGTCACGGGGACAGCAGAAGGCTTCAGATGAACATCCTCTCCCCTGTGTTAGAATGTCATCTAGGAAGTGTCTGTGAGGTGCCTTTGGTTTTTGAGGGTTGTGAGGTTGAGCACAGTGAGCAAAGAGGAAGCAGGATGTTGTCCTAGAACTCGGTGCATTCGTGAACAGCCAAGTGAAGCCAAGAAATGGGGAAGATTTTCCTTCAGTTCGGTGTTTCTGTTGTGCTCGGTGTCTCAGGGTCCTGATCTGTCATTCAGGCTCTCAGACTGTGTGGCAGCAAATAAAGATTGGAGCATGTTACTAATCATTTTCAAAAAGTTGTAACAGGTCTAGTTGCTGATAAGTGCCACTGTTGGCATAGACGGACAGTGTGAAATACTTCCACGGTGACACTCACAACAACATGCTGATGTTTTCTTGGAAGTACTTGCAGTTCTGTAGTGTCCCAAGCGATCCTAAGCATATGGATCTTTGGTTACCAGCAGGTCAGCAGTAGGTGAACCACAAACCCTTAAAGGCTTATGACTTTCAGATTTTAAAGTTTTTATCTTG